AAGTACGACCATTGACAAACTCAAAATATGTTTGCCAAGCTACAATAGAAGATTTAATTACCGCGTACCCAAATTATATACTAATGTAACAAATAATTTGAAAAATCGATATTACCAAATAAATAAAATACCCGGTAATACAAATCCGACCACATCAAACTAGGTTTGAGCCCCCTGAAAATTTTTGACATTTCGCTTGACCGTTGATGATCTGCATCTTAGTTGCATCAGCTGCGATCTGAGGCAAGCGTTAGTCTGAGGCACGACATATACACGTACTTTTTTTAGTGCAAAGTATTACTACTACTACCAATTTTATAATTTTAGCTAAATAAACAATAACGATAAAAATATGGTTTATCCATGGATTTTGGATCAGGATCCAAATATTTTGAACCCGATGGATCCGAATTTTTGAATCCAAGCCCAACGCAAAAATTCATATGAAGATCCAAGTCCAGCCAACCCATGGATAATTCAGCTTATGCGAAACCCTATTTGGGAATCCCACTTGATGAAATGTTAGGTGCATATTCTGAAAACACAGTTCTAAATTGGTCTATTCCCGGAGCTAGGTTCAAGTTTTCAGATTAAACATATAAGCAGATGCATAAATGTGAATATATCCGTATATTGTTATAAAAAGATCATAATTTGCTCAATTTCATTCTTTATTTTTTTTAACTATGTGCATGTGGAATCAAGTTCAAAAATAAATGTTCGAATTTAATAATTTTATTTTGCAAAATGAATAATCCACATCACTTTCATTATTAACTATCATTCAGTCAATGAACGAAGACAGGTATACTGATATTTTTTGCATGAAATTACGTAACCAGTTTTGCAAAATATCACGGAAAAAACTTCACATGGTCATATTAACTATCGGATAACATCATGCCCAATAATGTACACTTCTGCGCCATCATAAGTATCATCAGAATGTAATTACTTTTCTTTTTCTACCTGACGATCTGCGTGTAAAAATTGATTTATAATGAACATTACATCTTTTGTTACAGGGTCATCTGCCCATTTCTGAAGAATATCATGTAATTCTCTTGTGATATATTGAGTCAATGGACGACTAGTATATATTGCGCCATTATGAATATCATCCGAATGGAGCTGCTTTTCTTTTTCTACCTGATGATCTGCGTGTAAAAATTGATTTACAGTGAATCTTTTATCTTCTGTTACAAGGTTTTCTGCCCATTTCTGAAGAAGATCATATACTTCTTTTATGTTTGGCCTTTTCGTGGGGTCTGCGTCCCAGCACCTTTCCATCAATTTAATAAAACATTTTGGACCACTAACATTTGGTCTGACACCATCAATAACATCTAATATTAAATAAGCATCATGGCAACGCTCTGCAAATGGTGGGTTTCCAGATGCAACCTCTGACATGATCATAGCAAAACTATATACATCTGAAGCATTTGTATACTTTCTATGGCAAAACACTTCGGGAGCCATGTATGGAATCACGCCATATATTTTAGGTAAATTATGCAAAGTAGATGAACTAACACGCAGATTAGAATTTTTAATCCGTGGTTCTTCTGGTTCTTTTGGTTCTTCTCTTTCTTTTCTTCTGAGTTTTTCATAAAATTCTTCACGAAACATAGGTCCAATATTGCTTACCAATGCCATTTTATATTCTTTTGAGTTACGATATTTTTCGTACGTTTCTTTGTGATCATATGTTTTTACTTTGCCAGTAGTTTTTACTTTGCGATTATCTGTATGTAGAATGTTTCCAGTATACAAATCGCCGTGTACTAACCCTGTGTCATAGATGACTGCAATACCTTTGGCGATATCTCGCAAAATGAATAACTTGTCACACCATCGCATATTTTTATTCTTTTTTAAATATTGGCATAGGTCACCATAAGTGGCGTATTCAGAGACCATCATATAACCTCGAGATGAACTGCGTGTAATGCCATAACACCGTAGAATATTAGAGTTCCGAGTATATTTAGCACAAGTAATATATGCCCTAATCTTTTTATGGGTTACTTCGGAACAGACATATGTAACAACGATATTTCATAAAACTTACTTCGCCTAAGAGCTGGCTAATTTCTTCTCGATTATGCGGACATTTAAGAGCAACTAAAATTTCTGAATACCTCGTTCTTTAGTCCACTCAATCCATTTAGCAGAATATACGTCTGCAAATCCCCTCTTCGCCAAAGGCTTCACATTTTGAAAGTATTTGTAAGGAATCCATTTCAAGTAGTCATAGAATCTGGTAGCATTAAGCTGGGTTTCTTGGATGAAGGCGTCAATTTTAGGGCAGCCACTTGTCCACATGTGAAAAGATTCTTTGAATATACAGATTCTACATGGTCCACACCAATTTTCATTTTTTGATAGTTTGCATTTTCGACAGATGCTAGAGGATGTTTTCTTAAATCCAGTAATCATACTCATCAGAGCAGAATCAAATATAATAGTTGCTTTGCTCGAAAATATATAGCAAAAAAAATTCGTAGTACGGCTTTTTGGTTTCACTAATTAATGTAATATACTAAATTATAGTTATATGAACAGAGTAATGCATAGCGTTATACTGGGATGACTGGTCATCTAATAGAATCAAGCATATAGGATCTTTGCTAGGAAAATGACCCTCCGAGGCTATGTTGATTTTGTGAATAAACATTAAATTTGCCAACCATCTAGTTATTCAATTTGAATGAATTTTTTTTATTTTGTAGGCTCTATTGAGATTTACAAAATAAAAAAAAGTTCATTCAAATTGAGTAACTAGAGGGTTGGTAAATTTAATTTTTATTTATAAAATCAACACAGCCTCAGAGGGTCATTTTCCTAGCAAAGATCCCATATGTCTAGTCTCACTGATTTTTGTACATGGATCAAAAAATTATGCCGCAGTTTTTATATTAAAAGAAGTAAAATACTTTTGAATATTTAACGCTTAATGATTTTTTTTTCAATCTTAATATGTTTCACTCTTTACTGCGTTCTTAACAAAGTTAAGTTTTCAGATTTCACATACCATAGCAAAATTTTCAATTAAAATATATTTCAAATTGGTATATAAAATTTAATACATTTTTTTTAAAACGTATGCATACAAATTGGTAAGAATATATGAGTGTTGTCAAAAGAAAACCTACAATTCTAAAAACAGATTACTATGATTTTCATAATAATCTAGTACAAATATTTTAACGTAACTTTGTAAAAAAAGTGTTAAGATTTCTTTTTTTACCAAGTTTGGTGTCAATTCATCATGCAATTAAGGCCTAATAACCATCTAAATCTTTTAGAAGATGTGTCTCCGGTCTCGCTTCACATTTAGTTTACTAAATACTGTTATGCATAAAAATGTATAATTTATGTAATAAAAAAATTATTTATACGTAAAACAATCTGTAATACTGCAAATTTATATGAGTATATATATATTCATCTGATATGTAATAGCAAATCCAGCGAAGAGCGCAGTCACATGATTCTCAATCTCCTGATCTTAATTTGTCATTCACATTTTGACAAGATACGCGTCGTGCAAATGCAGTGAGCTATGCAAAATATAATTTTTTGCATCAAATTTTTGAAACATAATTTAATGTATAATAAATTAGTGTAAATTTTTTTACTACTTGTAGCAGTAGATAAGGTTATGTAATGTTTTATTAAAATAAAATGAATTTTATTATGCAGACTAATTTTTGTAATTAGTAATAATTTTTAATCTATTTGTTTATTTTAAATGATTTTATTACCAAACTAATCTTCTCAATAAGGTTGTTCTAAAGGTAGATTTGTCAAATTTTGACAGAGTGCAGGATCGATTTTACTATCACATGATTCTCGGAAAACAAATGTTAAGTTAAAAACTTCTTTTACATTCGAGTAAGAGTTTAAGTTAAGGTTAGGAAGGACTATAGCATAGCAAAATTACACAAGGAAATTTTTTTGTTAGGACTCCAAAGACTGTTTACTACACTAAATTTTGAGATAAATGCGATTTATGCAAAGCGAACGTTTGTTTTGATTTTCTTTACGTTACACCTGATCCTGATCTTTGATTGGCTGATGGACGTCGGAAAATCATGTGACAGTAAAATCGATCCTACGCCCTGACGTATTAGATTATATACACTATATATGCAATACTTTTTAATATATATATATATAAATATAATTTTATATAAACTTATCATTTGAAACAAATTTCGATTATAGTGTGTTACGATTTGATTGGATATCTTCATGTGATGTGGCCGGACAGACAAACCTTGCATATCACCCTTTACAGAAAAATATAGAGTCCTCCACTACGCTCCGGACAATAAGACAACCATTAAAATGGACCTTTTTACTGCTTTCTCTAATATTAAGAGTTTTTATAACTATATATATATTTACACTATGCCAGTATAAGGAAATCACAATTAAATAGGACCTTTTTACTACTTTGGACCATTTACTACTTGGGATCTTTTTACTACCATTGTTTCGCAAAAGCAAATCAAAATTTGAGTTTGAAATCAAATATTTGATCAAGTTAAATATGATCGAATATTTGATTAAATCAAATTTAAATTGATTAATTATAATCGTGAACTAGTTTACAGATTAATTATATAATTATTTATCTATACTAATTGTTTATCAAGCAAAAATATTCAAAAGCACAGGTGTAAGTGGTTATATGTTTGGAAGAATGCTAGTTGACCAAAGATGTTAGAAATAAATTTAATTAAAGAACTTAAGTTACATAATAACTTGCACTTTTCTTTTTATAAACTATTTTATAATTGATATAATAAATTATTATGAACTAGTTCACAGTCATATTTGATTTGCTTTTTTTTTTTTTTTTAATATTAATGGTGAGGCCATGCCTTTAACTTTATTGAATATTTAATTGAGATTATAACATAAAACATTAATCTACTTTTAAAATATTATAAAAAGAATAAAAGCTCAGACTAGTTTATCTGCGGCCTAAACCAACTGGAGTGGCCATGGCTCACCTAGATTTGAGTATTAGTAATAA